TTCTTCCCATACATTTATTTCTGATTTCATTTGACTAAAATAGCATAATCTTACATTCTTCAGTGTTTTATTTTTCCTCAATCATTGCAAGGAAATGTCAAGCATTCAAAGTTTTTACGCGCATGAAGTTAATATTTTGGGAAAATTAGCAGCACACTCTCAATTGGAGAAATGATACGAGGTAGACCACTCAAATAAATAATTTGACAGTACAATTATTGTAAACATAATAATATTACTGTCAACTATATTAATATTAATTTTTTTTTTTTTGATTTGTTGACCGGTCAACCTAATAATATTAATGTGGTTACAGTAATGCTACTATGGTTGACAATAATATTACTGTCAACCACATCAATATTAATTTTTTTGGGCTTTTATGTTTGCCATTGTTGAATGATCAACATATTAAATTTACTGTATTAAACAATAATAGTTTTTTTTGTTGTGTTAATATTACTGTTCTAAAGAGCAATATAGTAATATTATTGTGTTAAACAGTAGTATAGTTAATATTACTGTTAACTACAGTATTATTACTAATTAAACTTAATATTACTATCAACTACAGTATTATTACAAATTAAATGGGCCAAAAATGTTCAAGAAACAAAGTTTCAAAAAAGAAAAAAAATAGTCAACGCCACCGAACACCGGCGTTGATTGCCGGCGGAGAAAAAAAGCAAACATTAAAAAAAAAAAAAAAAAGTCAAGGCCGGAGACCAACCGTCAACGGCGGCGACGGTCAAATTTGGGTTAGGGGTTAAAATTGAATAATTGGTAAAATTTTGGGTCAGATTGATGTTAAATTGGATTACATGATGAAATTGGAGCATATTAAAATATGATAGGTATTTTAGTCATTTACACACCTCTTTACATTGTTTGGACTTTTTTGTAAAATAGTTTATGGTCTGGATCCATTTATAAATAACTAGCCCATGAAGGGCTTATTTGTAATAAACTATTTTAACAAATATATCACATGAAACCTCATTTTCACAATTTATTGAAGGGGTTTTTGTGCATAAGTCCCCAACCAAACATCTTTATTATTATTATAGGTTTAGGGGTTAGAGCAACTCCAATGCTAAACATCAAAATTGGATTATCAAATACTCATTTGATAATTAAGATAATATTTTAATATCCATTTACAATTTATCTACTCCAACCATGGTTATCTAAATCAATAATCAATTGGAAGTACAACTACAATTATATTCTTATAATTTTGGTGCAATAATCAATTGGAAGTTTTTTAGTGGTTTTATTTGTAATTGCCACGTGTCATTTTGTGATTGGATGTTTAGGTAGTTATTTTTTTGATAACTCAATTTCCGGAATGTATTTTTACATTTAAAGAGGTAGAATATCAAAATACGTACCCATTTTGATACTCTCATTGGAGTGGAAAATTTTAATTTTGGAATATCAAAAAGGTGGTTTATGGATTTGATAATCCATTTGATACTCCCATTGGAGTTGCAATTATATCTCTTTCACCAATAAGCTCATCCCTTTAATATTTATTATAAATAAAGGAAACATTCATGTATATGACAATATTACCCAACCCTTTATACCCAATTCTTAATTGTAACCCCAATTTAATCAATTTTGTCCACAAAATTCCAATTTTAACCACAAAAATCGAATTTTGACTTTTTCTTTTAAAAAACTTTTTTTTTCAAAAATTTTTTTTTGCCGCCGGTCTCCGATGTTGACTTTTCGATTTTTTTTTCGCCGGTTTCCGACGTTGACTTTATTTAGTGTATTTTTAGGTTTTTTTTTTTTTTTTTTTTTTTTTTTTACGTCTGCCGCTAAACGTTGACCGTAATTGTGCTGTCACTGACAGTAAATTAACGTAATTATACTGTCAATGACAGTTAATTAACGTAATTGTACTGCCGTTGACAATACATTTATGTAATTGTTCTGCCGTTGACAGTAAATTAACGTAATATTATTATTTTTTATTTTTTATTATTTTTTTTTTAATTTTGTTTGATTTGTTAACAAGTCAACGTAATTATATTACTGTCTTTGACAGTAAAATAACTGTAAACACAATAATATTACTGTCAACAACATCAATATTATTATTTTTTTGGGTTTTTTGTTTTGTTTGAGTTATTCACGGAGTAATGTAATAATATCACTGTCTATTATTGTAATATTACATTAAACACGATAATATTACTGTGGTTGACGGTAATATTACTGTTGTTATAGTAATATTGTTGTCAACCACATCAATATTATTATTTTGTTTGGACTTTTTTGCTTGTTTTAGTTATTCACGGAGTAACGTAATAATATTACTGTCTATTATTGTAATATTATTGTGGTTGATGGTAATATTACTGTTGTTATAGTAATATTACTGTCACTCACAGTAATATTAATTCTTTTGGCTTTTTATTATATTTACATTTGTTGAACGGTCAACATAGTAATATTACTCTATTACACAATAATAATGAGTTTTGTTGTGTTAATATTACTGTGCTAGAGATTAATATAGCAATATTACTGTTTTAAACTGCAGTTTAGTTAATTTTACTGTGTTTAACAGTAATATAGTTAATATTACTGTCAATCACAGCAATATTGTTGTTTAAACGAGAAAAAAAATGTTACAGAAAGAAAAAAAAAATAGTGAAAAGTCAACGCCGAAGACCGGCGAAAAAATCCGGAAGAAAAAAATAATAATAATAATAATAATAATAAAAAATAACATTGAAAAGTCAACGCCGGAAACTGGTGAAAAAATCCGGAAGAAAAAAAAAAGAAAAAAAATTTGAAAAGTCAACGCCGGAATCCTGCTGCAAAAAAAAAAATTTGAAAATTCTTTTTTTTGAAAAAAAAAAAGTTTTGGGTCAAAATTGAATAATTTGTGAAATTTGGAGTCAAATTGAGGTTAAATTAAGTTAAGCATGAAATTGGAGCATATTAAAGTATGAGGGGCTATTTTAGCCTTTTACAAAAATCTGGACCATATGTGAACTTATTTGTAAAGGAATTTTTTATCTGGATCTCTTTATGAATAATTCCTCATTAATGGGCTTATTTGTAATGGCCGCTTTCTTGAAAAACAATTATGACCTTGACCGGGATTGACCGGCGTGCTCTGACTTTGATTTTTCTATTTTTTTTGGCAAGTCAGCTGTTATCCGCTGGTATCCGATGTCGGCCTTTTTTTTTTGTTGAATTTTTTGCTAAAAGTTTATTAAACTAAATAAATTGAGGGTTCTCATTAAAATGAGAAACAAGATGTGTCAATCCTCATTGTTTTTATAATGAAGGAACCTGCAGTCAATTATATAGGTGAACTGAATAAACCTACAAGATCAATTGATACAAACTCATTTGCTGCAACTAATAGGTCATTTTTGTGGACAGCCCATCCTCATTTACCTAATTTACCTATATAAGTGGGGATTCTACTAACAACCCCTTTAGTATAGCATTTACACAAGGATTGGACTTTGAAAAGTATATATCAATTCTTTTTGAAAAATCAATCAAGACAAAATTGACTGCATTTAATAAAAGGAAGCAACGAAGATGATGGGTGTGGTGTGGTCCTATACTGAATTAACTATTTTCTCAATTTACGTAAAAAGAGGAAAAAAAAAAAAGAAAAAAACACAGAATTCCACCATTCACACCAGTGTTCTAAAAATTGGCCGAGGCGACCGATTAATCGGTCTTCGAGGCGGAGGTGATCCAAAACCTTTATGATTTTAGTGTAAAGGTTTGAAAAATCGGTTTTTTGCCTGTGAGGCGGTTTTAGGCGGTCTGAGGCGGTCAAACCTTTAAGGCGGCTCAAACTCGGTGGCAAAAATCGGTTTTTTTTTTTGTTATTATAATTCAAAATGAAAGTTGGGATTTTAATAAAAGAAAATATGAGTTTATGCCTTATTTTGTTTATGTTAATTATTATTGTTAAAGAACTAATGATGCGTGCCAGAAATGTTCAAGAATAAATGTAAATTCAAAAAAATTGCTTTTTTATTTATATTTTAAAAGGATATTTATGTATTATGATCTTATAATTATTAAACTTTTATTATGTTATTAAGAATATATACATGATGGAGATATAACTATGTTTAAATATCTTTTTTATATATGTTTCGAGTATTTATAAATAATATCTAGAGATATATTATATTAAATTTTAAAAACCGATTTATCACCGATTAATCACCGCCGCACCGATTAATCGTGAATCGGTGCCTGACCGACTCGGACCCGATTACCGCTTTTTACAACCTTGATTTACACACTATAGTGTTCTCTTCCTCATCTCATCATACTCTGCAACCTCAAACAATCATCCCCAAACTTAGCTCTATCTTTTCAAATTAATCACCAAAAAATTCATACATAGATGTATATCATCAGCCAAAGCCTCCTCCTCAAATTCATTTATTTCTTCATCACCACACAATTATATTTCATCCAAAAATCCCATGGAAACCAAATTAAGTACTGCACCCCTTCCTCATGTGGCGAAACTCGCAATATTAGCTATCCTTTCAGGCCCAATACCGATCCAAAACGCTGCGGTTATCCCAAATACAAACTTTCATGCGAAAACAATACAACTTCACTATACCTCAACTCTCAAAATTACCTCGTACAATCGATCAACTACGCTAACTACACAATCCGTATTACCGATGCTTCCTTATTTAGAAACGAGACTTGCTCTTTCCCCAACAACTCTATATCGGGCTCAAACTTTAGTGCCCGGGATGCTTACGGCATCGAAAAATACTCGGGTCCGTGGTATAGTGGCGGAGGAATTCCCGATATAACATCCACTATATTATTAGTTCGAGTACCGCGCAAGGCGCGGTGCTAGCTACTGTCCAACCAAATTTTATATGACAATAAAATGTTGTTTTTGTGGAAGTCGTGGGAAGCTATGAATATATGATTCTTGCAGAAAAAAATTTCAAATCTAAAAAACAAAATGTCATCTCGAAATAGGTTCCCTTGACTCTGTCGAAATATGACTTTATCTCCAGTTACCTCATCTTTTGTCAATCCAAAATCACAAAGACTTGCATTGTAGATCCGCCAAATTATGAGTTACATACTTAAAAAGTAATTAGCTAAGATTATTATACAAATGTTGAGTAGTGAATGTACATGTAATCCATGTGAGTCCATTTTGTAAATAACTACAAGTACTCTTTCCTTGTTACGTCATACAAGGTCTTCAGGAGGTCCCATTTCACAGCACAGTAATTTTTTTTCCAACTAGAAAAAGGTACAAAAAAGGATACAATATCAACAGACCCAAATTCTACAATGGAAGATAAAAGAGAAATATATATATATATATCATTTACTCTTCTAATATGATAGCCATCTCAGTTTGATAATGCCCGGCACCAACGGAATTCGTAGTAGCTGGAAATGGATTTGGAGGCATTGTGAGATCGCCATTGTCTCCTTCCAACATTTGAACCACAGCTTTCATTGACGGACGATCTGTCGGACACCACTGTATACACCACAACCCTACCATACTAAGTTTCCTTGCTATACTATTTCCTTCTTCATCAATTTGTGCCCACGTGGGATTATCCTCCGCATTAATATGATTGTAAATCCACTGCGGAAAATATACCGGACTAGTATTATTTACATTACGATCCTCGTTTTTCCTCCCTCCCACCATTTCAAGCAACAACATTCCGAAGCTATAAACATCGGACTTATACGAAACTCTCCCGAAAGTCCTGGACAGTACTTCAGGTGCAATATAGCCCATTGTTCCTCTAGCCGCAGTCATTGTCACTGCACTTTGTTCCTTTGAGCACAATTTCGCAAGACCAAAATCGCAGATCTTCGGGTTGAAGTTGTGGTCTAACAATATGTTTTGCGGCTTTATGTCGAAATGGAGTATTTGTTGATCACATCCCTCGTGAAGATATTCTATGCCTCTGGCTATGCCTAGCGCAATATCCTTTAGCTTTTCCCAATCAAGAGATATTTTCTTAGAACCTGCTTGAAAAATGATTTTTTCGAGTGAATCATTAGGTAGAAATTCATAAACAAGAGCTCTTTGAAATCCATCGGCACAAAAGCCAACAAGGCGGACAACATTGACGTGGTGTATTCTACCAATCGTGCTTACTTCATTCACAAACTCCTCTCCGTTTCCTTTGGAATTGTTTAGTACTTTTACTGCAACATCTATTTCATTGTTCAACTTTCCTTTGTAAACAACTCCATAACCCCCTTCACCTAATTTATAGTGAAATTGATGAGTGATCCTTGTAATATCTGAATAAGAGAATCTACTTGGCTTAAGGGCTCTGTAATCATGCAAAAACTTTTCAATCTTGATTTGATTCTCTCTGCCAATTCTAAATCTGATATATTGATGGACGAAAGCGACGAGGATTATCACGGCAAGAAAGCAACCAAAACCTTTGAAACATAATTCATAAGTTAGATTAGAACCCATCTACTAGAATAATATAATATTATTAAAAGCATAGAAATTGTTTACCTGCAATCAGTCGCTTCTTCAGTGCTTCTGTAACCAACAAGCAAAATATTTCTTTAGACAAACGATAATCTATACCGAATAAAAGAGCTTATTGCATTTACTCTTATGAAAATCGCAACTGCGTGTTTTCCCCGTCATTAAAAAAATAGCAAATACTCCGTATTCATTAGTGAAAGACGACAACCCCCCTCATCACATATCGTGTGTCTCACTTGTGGGTTCTGCGATTTTTCTTCATTTTTTGTGTGAAATGACGGAATTGCCCCCAACATCTTTTTCTTCTTTTCTTTTAATAAGTTTATTTTTTATTTTAATAAATTTTTATTGCATTTTTTTATTTAAATTTATTAAATTATAAATATTTTCAAAGCAATATTTGGTATGTATAAATATTATGTATTTTCAGAAAATTACAATTATGTCCCCTGAATTATTTGATTAAGTTTTTCAAAACTTCAATTTGGTCCCCTAGTTTTTTTGCAGAAACCCCCAGGGTACTTCGGTCGTTTTACAACCGGTCAATGGAGAAAATTTAAATGAGTCGAGTATGTAGTCTTAAAAAATAAATACAGGGAATTTTTGCTAATTTTTTATGACAGGGGGGAAACCCGGAGTTTCGATTTTCACAGAGGTAGTAAATTGAATAAGCTCCAATTGAGAAAAAAATGGGATGAGATAATACGTACCATGATGATTTGTGGTTGGTTGTTTGTCGATACAATGAATACTATCAAGTCTCGTTGAGTTATATAAGCTGCATCGTTTGCCTTGAGCTTCACAGTGGCCACATGTCGGCTCGGACCACTCCAAACGGAAGCCGTTTTTATCGGATATACTCCACGGAACAGCTGAAATATCATGAATCTTTGTACAAGAATTCAATGGATATAAACGCGTGTTATGGTTATCAACAAAATAGTATTTGTTAATGGGATCAACAAGGCAAGGAATGAAGCGATACAAAGATTTGTCCGCATCGGAACATTTAAAAATGGCTGAGTCCGATATTAAGTAGTCATCAAGAAGGAAGTTGAAGGATGAGGTAGATAAGTTTAGATGGGGTAGCTTTTGTGGAAGGCAATTTTCCGGGTCATGAACAAGAATTGTTTGAGATGTATAGTTGATTTCCTTCACGACAACATTTACGGAGAACGGAAGCACAAGAACGGTATCTTTTTTGTGGTCGCAGTTTAGATCGAAACCCGGGTAGCCGCAGCGCTGAGGTTGCTGAGTTTGATGTCTGAAAGGAAACCGAATTATCGGGCTATGTTTACTGCATCTGATTGGCGTACAACCGTCATCGCTTTTCGTTACCGGTACAACAAGTGGAAAGAACAAAAGCAACAAAATAAAGGAAGACATTTTTTCAAATTGGCAGAGTAAAGTTTTATTTTCTCCGTTTAATAACATGAAGAAGAAGCATACTCACAAGAATCTTGTAACCCAATTGATAGTGGTGGACCTGATGATACTTGTTTTCTCTCCAAAAAAAAGGGGATAATTACAGTTTTGGTCCCCCAAGTTTGTACGTTTTTCACTTTTGGTCCCCCATTTACTGTCGTCAACAAAATACACACTAATGTTGTCACATTTTAACACATTTAGTCCTTCCGTCTGTTTGACCGTCAATAAGTAACGGTCAACATCTGAATTAGTGCTGAATTTTGAATTTTTCATAGATAAAAATTGCACTCAGACCCTGCATTCTTCTAAAATATTCTACAACCCTCTAAAATTTTATTCAACCCTAACTTAACCCCACTTTCATCATTTACTCAATTTTGACAAACGACCCCGATTTTTACCACCATTACCGCTGACCGATGACCGCCGTTGATTTTTTTTTTTACTTTTTTTTTCTACATTGAATTTTTTTTATTTAATATTGATTTTGACGCCGTTCACCGACATTGTATTCTCGGTTAACAATGTTGACTTTTTTTTTTTATTTTTCTTGATTTTTTACGAACTTTTTCCTTTGATCTGTATAACACAATAATAATACTATATTAATATCTAGTATCCTAATATTAAAATTACAAAGTTTTAACAAAGTTTTTATCTAAAATTATATGGCCTAAATACAATTTAAAAAAAAAATTCTAAAATCAATAATTTCTTCCCCTCAAATTTTTCTTCGTGGAACCGCCAGTGCATCCCAAATTTATTCCCAAGAAAATATGAAGAAGATGAATTAGGCATGTGGGGAGTAATTTGAAATGAGAGAACCACTCTAGTATAACGGTTTTTGGGCTAACACCGGCCGTTAATTTTTATCTTTTCTTTTTGTCTTAAAATTATTCTGTCATTGAGATGCGTTGACTTGCTCCCTTTTTCTTTATTTTTATTTTTGGGTAAATTACAAACACCCCCTGAGGTATGACCAAATTACAAAAACACCCCTCTTGTTTGGATAATTACAACCACCCCCCTCAACTCATCAAATTTAGTGAAATCTTCGAGATTATATGGAATATTATCACTTTTGCACCCGTTTTATCCCATTCAAACTCTACATTATGAAGCAAGATGACCATAATATGTGATTTTTAGCTTGTATATATCATTTTGTGGTGCATCGGAAACTGTATTTTTTACACAAAGAGTACAAACTAGAGCACATTTCACGGAATCTAGATGACTATGTTGAATTTGGCACCATAAAGGTAAGAAAAAATCATAGTTGAGGGGCGTAGATGTAATTATCCAAACAAGAGGGGGTTTTTTGTAATTTTACCATACCTCAGGGGGGTGTTTGTAATTTACCCTTTTTTTTATGATATTATTTTCTCGCCGATTATCTGCTTTGATTTTTTTTTTAATTATATTTTTTCATTACTCAACAATTTAAATAAAAATAAAATAAAAATCAAGAAAAAAAAGTCAACGCTGTTAAGCCGACATTCAACATCGGTCAACAACGGGAAAAAAGATCAATCGACAAAACAGTCAACCGAGTTAAAAAGAAAGTCAACGTCGCATTACCGAGTTTTGAAAAATTGGGGTCATTGGTTAGAATTGGTTAATTGATGAAATATGGGTTAAGTTATGGCTGTGTAAAATTTTAGAGGTTTTTAGAGTATTTTGAAAGAATACAGGGGTCTTATTGCAATTTTCTCAAAGAAAAACCCCAAATTCAACCGTTGACCGTTACTGCTTAACGGTCAAACAGATGGAGGGACTAAATGTGTTAAAATGTGACAACACTAATGTGTATTTTGTTGACGGCGGTAAATGGGGGACCAAAACTGAAAAACGTGCAAACTTGGGGGACCAAAACTGTAATTATCCCCAAAAAAAGTTATTACAATATTATTTGACAGAAATTAATCCATCTAATTATGACCTGTTATGGGAGAGTGGTCCCCGGATGGTGATTGGCTCAATTATTGATAACGAAAAAACAAACTCCTCCGTTCACACATTACTATAATCTTCTCTCTTCTCATCTCTTCCATCCAATTAATCATATTCCCAAACTTAGCTATAGCTCTTCAAAGTAATCACCAAATTAAATATTCATACATACAAACATGTACATGCTCAGCAAAAGTCTCCTCCTCAAATGCCTGTATTTCTTCATCACCACCCAGTTATATTTCACCAAAAAATCCCATGGAAACCAAATTAATTGCACCCCTTCTTCGTGTGGCGAAATTCGCAATATTAGCTATCCTTTCAGGCTCAAAACCGATCCAAAACGATGCGGTCGTCACCAATCGGAACTTTTATGCGAGAACAATACCACCTCAATATTCATCAATTCTCTCAAATACCTCGTCCACGAAATCAACTATACCAAACAGACCATCCGTCTTGCTATTCCTTATGTCACAATAATCGAGAGTTGCTCATTCCCCAAATACCCTTTATTCGATTACAGGTTTTATCCCTATTACTCCTATGTCGAGAAAAGTGTTCCGATTAGTTTTATGAGCTGCCCATATCCACTCAATGGTTCGAAGCTTTTGGAAATTACTTCTCATTGTGCAGATAGAAAATTATATGGTGTGAATGAAAGTCGCGCATATGTAATGTTTGGCACAGATTTACACCAAGTAAAGGATATGTGCAAAATAGACCTCATGATGATGACTTCACTGCCACTTAAAATAGAAGAGAATGTTTCCTTTTCAACTATGCACACAGCTCTGATATATGGTTCCGAGGTTTCGTGGGCTTTGACTTCGTACGAGAATTGTGTATCCAATATAATTGGTGGATACCCTTTTTGCGGTAAGATTCAATCAATTATGACGATGCATTTATTGTTCATTATTTTTTCATGCATAGAAAAACATTTTTCTTCATCACTTGAACATTTTAACGAAGATGAGCTTCCGCGTTTTAACATTTTACACGATTAAGATTCAATACACTTATGTCATTCTAATGCTCTTATCCGTGCAGGTGACATCCCAGTTTGGTTGGCCGATGCTCTTCAATGTTAGTAATTCTTTAACTCTCTTTTGTTGTTCATATAATTCTTCATTTATCATCTTATTCAATTCTGCGGTAAACTAACTCTCTAATATATGCTAAACTACAAAAAAGTTCTCTTCAGTTTACAAAATTTTACTCACAATTGTAAATCCTAAAGAAAAAAAAAACATAAAAAGGGTAAAATACAGTTTGCACCCCTGTACTTTAAAAATGTGGCATTCACCCCCTGTAGTATTAAAAAGTACAAAAAAAAAATGTCGTGTTATTCTGTCAGTCAAAGCTGATGTGGCACGTTGACCACACATATTTCAATATTCTGGACATTTATATCCCTTAACTATAGCGTGTGTGTATATAATGTATCTACTATTTTATACAATTAACAAAAAAGATAAAAAAAAAATTATTAAATTATAGAAACAATTATAAAATGTAAAAAGTAATGAAATATGGTCTAATAGTTTATAAAATGACAACAATTATAAAAAGAATACTTTGTTATAGAAATTCAATAAATATTATAAAATAAAATAAAAATATGTACAAGAATCCTCCTAGCCCCATCCCACCATCGTTATTTAGAAAAAAAATTCTCTTCCCACCGTTCTCCAGACAGTACAAAAATTCAGCAACATTTCTCTTCATCATCTTCTAAAAATCATCCAAATCCCATCCGACCACCAACAACTTATTAAATCCCATCCGACCACCAACAACTGTTTAAATCCCATCACACCAACAACAACCACTCATTCTAACCTTCCCAAATGGTGGTGGTGGCGGCGACCATGGTGTATTCTTTCGGCATGAGGGGATCGATGGTGATGGTGGTGGAGAAATCATCGTCTCCACTTCTTGATTTTGGTGGTGGGTGGCTGAGAATTTTCGAGAAAGTTAAAGAAAAAATGAGAGGATATAAGAGTAATTGCACTGCAAAATTTAACACCGTCAAATTTATGTTTAGTGGCGGTCAAAAATAGAGGGGTCTTTGTAGTTTTTAATACCACTTGGGGTGAATGCGACCTTTTTCATAGTACAGGGGTGGAAACTGTATTTTATCCGAAAAAAAAATCTATTGCAATTTCAAGATTTTGCTTAGCTCTTGAATGGTTTGCTTGTCACAAAAGAGAATATTACACTTGATGCTTTTTGTGTATATTATTGAAAAAACCTAGTCAAATTATAAGGCCAAAAGAAGTCCTTCAAAAGTTAATGACAAACTCGGGTGGACCATCTTGATTTTTGGAATTATTAGTATTCAGTCATTTGGTAATGAATTTCAAATTCGTATCTCTCATTTTTCAATTGTTTTAACAATTCTGGTGGATTTAACAACACTTCTCATTTACAGAACTTCTAATCCTCCCCAGTTTAACCATATACAATCCATTCCTTTCAATCAGCACCAGCCTAAAGGTCACCGCAATTTTCAATTGGTCATTGTATAATTGGTGTTGAAATAGTGAACTCAAATTTTTTGAAACGTACATTAGTTTATCCTAATAAAAAGTAACGTAATCATTTTATCAGTGACCAAAATGGACTTTTGACGTCATTTTTACGATTTTTAACAATGTTTTAAGGATTTGTCTTTAATCTTTAATTTATTTATTAGTTCTTTTATTTAGAAAATTAGTCAAATAGCGGTGAAAGAAAACAAAGAAGTATAATATGAAAATTAATATGATATATAAATCATTTGCTTAGATTGGTTACACTCCTTATCAAACTATTATATTACTCGTCCCGTGTCTGCTGCTTTCCTTACCATATACATGTGTACGTGCAGGGATCGTGTACATTCTTCAGGCTGGCATAGGTGAGTATCAAATTGTTGAATATCTTTTCAAATTTTTTTTTGTTTTTATCCATTAACATATCATTAACATATCTTTACCCATAGATAGCACTTTGTCACCTAAATTTTAGCATATTTTGATTTAGCCATTTTAATAAGGGTCCATTAGATATAACTCCCTGAGAATTTCAAAAAATAGGGATAAATCCAATCTTATATTTTCCATTTGAGAGAAACCCACATTTTTTATAATACCAAAAATGCCCTGAATAAAATCCCACAAATCACGTTACATTACCTTTCGAAAATTAGAAGAAATCACTCCCTATAATATCGTCAAAAACAACTACCCATTAATCCACTATCCCCCTTCTACAGACGGCAACAGAGATCCAGAAATCCTCTCTAAACCAGATGCCGAAATCCAGCAATCACCTCCGCCACCATCTCCGCCTCCAAGATCGTCACCTCCACCTAGACCTCGACCGGCACCACCTCCGCCTCCAAGGGTGCGACACTCGATTTTGGAGTGAAGCCTAGTAACTTAAATGCCCAATGTCGTTGGCCACCGGCGGCCGTCGCCGTCACATCTCAGATATAGGGTTTTGATGATTTTTCGGACCATAGTCGATAAACGAGATTCATAGTCGAATTAGATCTATAGGATAATATATTAAATGATATGGGATAGTCTATCAATAGTAAAAGACAAATCCGGCGCCATGATCTAGGATTTTGTTGATTCTTCGGCCCAATAGTCAAATAACTAAATCCATAGTCGAATTAGATATATGGGATAGTCTATTAAATGATATGAGATAGTCTATTAATTTTAAAACACAAATTCGCCGCCGTCACTTCTCAAATCTAGGGTTTTGATGATTCTTCGGCCCATAGTCGATTAACGAGATCCACAGTGGACTTATATCAGTGGGTAGTCTATTCATTTGTGTTTTAATATTAATAGACTATCCCATATCATTTAATAGACTATCCCACTGATATAATTCGACTATGCATCTCGTTAATCAACTATGGGCCGAAGAATTATCAAAACCCTAGATTTGAGTAATCCTAGATTTGAGTAACCCGAGATTGGAGCAGTGACGGCGGCGGCGGCGGCGGCCAAGGACGATATCACTCCTAAATTGATTGTTACGACCTTGGAGGCGGGAGCGGCGGACGTCTTGGTCGATTTTGGCGGTCTTGGAGGTGGAGGTGGTCGGATGTGGTGGTGGTGGAGGACTAGGTGGTGGTGGAGGTTTTGGTGGCGGCACAGGTGATGGTGGCGACTTTGGTGGTGACGGGAGAACAGCCATCGCCGATGATGGAAGAGGCGGTAACGGTTATTGGCGGCGACGCTGATGGAGGAGGCGACAACGGTGATGGAGATGGCGGCGGTCAGAGGTGGAAGCGGCGAACCCGGCGGCGGCACTCTTTCGCCTAAAAAACTAAATGGAGATATAGGGTTTTGTAGAGATATCAGCAATCTCATATCACGTAGTTAAGGAAATAAATGCCGTTCAAAAATAAAACAGGGGTATTAAAGGGAAATTATATAATATATTATGCCAAGTTGGCATATTTGGGTGTATCTCAAAAAGGAAAAAATTAATTGGATCTACCTCGTTAGAAAATCTAAACAAGGGGGTTATCCCTAATAAATCTTTTTAATTAATATGCATTTTTTGATATAGACCCCTCATAAATTGTTTTAATACGAAGAGGTCTATTTATATTTTCTCCATTTAAACTCACAAGTTTTTTTAATCTAAAAATTACCATTCAACTATCTTCTTTTCAATACGCACCATCTCCATATTTTTTTGTTTTCTTAAATTAATTTTCATTTTTCTTGTTTCGTTTTTGTTTTTTTTTTTTTTTGTTTAAAGTTTTTTTTCCTGTCAGGATTATACAATTACCATAATAGAAATCGACTACTAAAATAGTGTTCGATAATGTAATCAATTTTAAAAGTAACAAATACAACTGTAATGCCCTCATTGGCACTCAACACAATTCAACACCAGAACTAAACAATAAGAAACCGCAAAAACCACAAAAAAACTAATCAATTAATGGCCATAAGTCCACCACCAACATAAACCAATCAAAAAGTACTTTCACAAGTCCACCACCAACAACCGCAAATGCAATAATGACAACAATTATGGCAAAAGTCCACCACCTACAATTAAAAAATATATTATTTAACTACGAAACTATATGAATCAACTATTACCTTAGAGTAATCAACTACTAAATTAAGTCGAAACAAAAAAATATAAAAGCATCAAAATCAACTATCGAAACATTATACATCTCCAATAGATTACGTGATAGAAAAATAAACAAAATATTTCCAAGTTAGAGAATAGATTGATAGTGGCAGAACAAAGAAGCACCACCGCAATGTCACCAAGCCCAATTACATGTGGCAAAACAAAGAACCAATAAATATATTAAAAAATAAATTTAAAATTGTAGTCGATTACCGTAATCAAATAATAAAAATGTTTTATGGATCCAACCGAGTTCCAACAAAATGTGCTACGCACCAAACATCGGCCGTGTTTTCCTCCTCAAAACAAGCAAACCACCCCTCCCCGTCACTCCGCTCCCGCTTCCGCTCGGAGCCTTGTCGCCAACCTCCGCCGGATTTCTCTGCTCCTGCCGTCCTCGGCGCAACCCGTCCAAAACACCGTCGGAGGGCAAACCCCAACCATAATTGTTGTGGTTCCCGTGGTCCACCAATCGCTGTGCCACTTTGCACAGCCTCAACAACCGTAGAAAAGGTGTTGCTAGGGTTAAGTTTATGCGATTTGGGCCCGAAACCATATCGCCAACCTTCACCACCTTCCTGATACCAATTGATTACGAATTTATCAGAATAGCCCTGATACCAATTGATTTAAAGCGAATCGCAGGACCCATACTAAATTCGTAACTGATTTAGAGTTTGAAATTTTCTTGCATGCGCTATATATACATTGATGCATAAGAAAAATATAGACTTACATACAAATTTAGATATATTCTTAAGGTCGTCTTCAATTATCGTACTGAATGATCTTTGGTTGTTGGATTTAGCATAAGAAGGAAACTCAAACAAACTGTTCAACAGTCCCACTTTGACTATTTCCAAAAAGCTTCGACTTCTTGATTCTTTTTCTCAATCAGAGCTTCAATCTTTGAGATAAATATTTTTCTCATTAGAGTGGGCTAATATCTTAGAAAATTATAAATTTAAGTCAAACATATAAGAATCAATTAAGTTGTACTTCACAAAATAATCAACTAGTTGATTATAAATAATTATTATTTCCGCGACCAAATAATTATTACATTATTGTCCAGATTTCAAGTACTTGTAATTTATTTCATTTACCCATTACTTGAAATCTCCTCCCACGCAAAAATAGTAACCATCAATAAGTTACATAATATTTCTTTGTTTTACCGACCACTTAATTTATTTGATTATGTCTCATCACTTGACTGAGCCTTAAACTTAAATAACTCAGGGGTTAGTTATCATTCCCATATTTTGGAGATGTCGATTTCCAACAAATTACTATTGCAACTGCCCAAATATGGAGAATTTGTTAACCATTTCAGAATATCACCAATTAGATCATCAAAGCATAATATACTAATGAATGAACCTTAAATATGTAGTGATTAAGATATTAGTAATTGTTTGAGAACGCTAAATAATATATTTTAGTTTTGGAGATGTCGATTTCCAACAATAACTAACTTCCGACAAATAACTATTGCAACTGCACAAATATCGGGAATTTGTTAACTCTTCCAAAATATCACTAATTAGATCATCAAAACATAATATACTACTGAATGAACCCTAAGTATGTAGTCATTAAGAGATTAGTAATTGTTTGAGAACGATAAATAATATAGTTTAATTTCAATCAATGATGAAATATTACCAAATGTGATAGCACATTCAATTAAAACAACAATTATTTTTTATTTACTGTAATCATTATAGATAAATTACTTAGACACTAAGTTGTTATATTTATTCAATCTCGATTGTAAATAAACTTTATATTCTAAACGAGACAACGAAATAATCTTTTACATGTTATCATCGTCAACACATCATTTTGAATCATATTATAATATAAGACTATGCCCAAATGGAGATTCTCTTAAAATGACGAAATACTATGTTATTAAATTAATGATCAAAATTATATTACGTAAATTAAAGTATTTGGAGTCATATAGAATATAAAACTATGCCCAAATGAAGATTCTTATAAACTAGCAAAATATTATTTTGTTACATAATTTTTAAATCATGTAACTAAAAGCAAGCTTTTAATTTACTGTCCCAACTAGTATTATGAAAAATTATGTGAGGAGGCCATTATGAACTTATTTCACAATATGTTTCTTTTTTTCAATGCTTGTAAAGATTCTCTAATTTGAAGTGAGTGATCCTAATACCTTCAAGTTTTTCGGTTTCCAGCTCTTATACTTATGTCCAACCTAGCACTGAGGATCGTAATTGGAATGCCTTGCATGCTTGGCCTTTTGATCTATAAATTTCGAAGAAGGCATTTGTCAATGTTCGACGTAATTGAAGGCTTCCTGCAAAGTAACACAAATCTCAAAACAATCCGCTATACATACTCAGATATGAAGAAAATCACAAAAGGCTTTCGAGAAAAACTAGGCCAAGGAGGCTACGGTTCTGTCTACAAAGGAAAACTTCGAAGCGGCCATGATGTAGCGGTCAAAGTACTTGCCAAGCCTAGCTCAAATGGGCAAGATTTCATCAATGAAGTTGCCACAATTGGAAGGATCCATCATGTTAATGTGGTTAAACTTGTCGGGTATTGTGCAGAAAGATCCAAACGCGCCCTTGTCTATGACTTCATGCCAAATGGTTCGCTCGAGAAGTACATATTTAATAAGGAAAAAGGTAATTCACTTAATCTGAAGAGGAAGTACGAGATTGCAATTGGAGTGGCTCGTGGAATTGAGTATTTGCACAGAGGATGCGACATACAAATCCTGCATTTCGACATAAAGCCTCACAACATACTTCTTGACAAAAATTTCACACCTAAAATATCCGATTTTGGTCTGGCAAAGTTTTATTCAACAGATAATACTACAGTGACTCTCACTGCAGTTAGGGGAACAATAGGCTACGTAGCTCCTGAACTAATGAATAGAAGCATTGGTGGGGTGTCTTACAAGGCCGATGTTTATAGCTTTGGGATGTTGTTGATGGAAATGTTGGGGCTAAACAGAGGGACAGGGCCTAATATTGAAAACAAATCGAGCCAATATTTCCCATATTGGATTTACGATCACTTGAATAAAGGAGAAGACATTGAAATCGGAAATGTGTATGATAATAACGATGGTGAGGAAAAGGACGATGATGATGATGATGGAAGAAAAATGAGGAGAAAGATTACAATAGTTGGATTGTGGTGCATACAGATGAGTCCAACCGATCGCCCGTCAATGAGCGATGTTTTAAAAATGTTAGAAGGTGAAGATGAAAATATGATGATTCCTCCTCAACCTTCACAATCATCTGAGATTCCAAGCTATGATGATCATACTTGGGGAACTGAATCCGAATCAACCGGTTCTGTAGCTTTGTTGCGTAATGATTCTTTAAGTTATCAATAAGAATGATAAATTAAGATATGGGATTAGTATGGTTTTGGTATTTGCTAATATTGTCTTGTACAACAGATAATTATATTTATGTATATATATATATATATATATATATATATATATATATATATATATATATGGCTATCATGATGAGTTTCAATTTTGTAAATAACTAGGAATACTCTTTCCTTGTTACGACAAACAATGTTTCAGAAGGCCCCGTTTCATACAACAACATTTTTTCCAAAAAAAAAAGGTAAAAAAAAAAAGAAGAAAAAAAAGGATTAAATATCAATTTAGTAGGTTCAACAGGCCAAAATTTTACAATGGAAGATAAAAGAGAAATATATATATATATATATATATATATATATATATATATATATATATATATATATATATATATATATATATATATAAAAGAGAAATATATATATATATATATATATATATATATATATATATCCATCTCAGTATGATAATGCCTGGCACCAACGGAATTCGTAGTAGCTGGAAATGGATTTGGAGGCATTGTGAGATCGCCATTGTCTCCTTCCAACATTTGAACCAAAACTTTCATTGACGGACGATCTGTTATACACCACTGATTGGTAGAAAAGGTGTTGATAGGGTTAAATTTATTCAATTTGGGCCCGAAGCCTATCGCCAACCTCACCAGCTTCTCCGTTTGTGCCGTTCTCGGCACAACCTATCCTGAACCCCGTCAGAGGGGAAAACCCCCACCATAAAGCCGTCGTTCCTGTGGTAGATTTTCACTACGACCGCGTCAAATGTTCTTCAAGAGTCGTCGTCTGATCCCTTTATCTAGCGACATCTTGCTTTTCCATCGAATTTTTAGTTGAGAAGCGGTCTGGTTTTTTGTTGTAAAGGCGGCACGGCACGAATGAGAGAACATAAAAGGAATGAGAAAACGAAGAAGATGGGAAACGAAGACTGAGAGGGAAAAGAAAATTGGATTTAGGATTGTAAACATGGTACTAAAGGGTACATTGGACAATTTAAATTTGTGAACAGTGTTGGGTCAAAGACAAAGGGGTTATCACTATTTGCAAAAACAAAGGGGATCTTTCCTCCGTTATGTTCGCAAATGGGGGGAAGCTGTTGCTAATTTCTCCTAACAAAGAAAAGCTGCACGATGTCACATAACCTCGATATTTTGTGCTAAATTATCATATAGACTTTATTACCCATCCAAATTCGCCGAAATCCGGCTCATGAACTTTTCACATGCACAGAGCAAAGGACTTTTTTTGTCTTTTCATCTAAAAATATTTTAGAAGCTCTTAATAGCCAAAAAAATCAAAAATATTATCAACCATTATTTAAAGGGTTAAATACAAAAACACCCCTGTACTATGGATTTTGTATCATTTACCCCCTGTACTACACAGAAATACAAAAACCCCCCTGCTATTATATTTTTTCCAAAATATGACGAAAATACCCCTGCTAAACTTATAAATATAAGGGTTTGTTTGAGCCATTTTCCACTATATTTTTTAACATTTTCGGTCGATTTTACTTGGGAAATTTTTATTTTTTTATTTTTTCCTTCAAAACATTTAATTACTTAGATTTTTTTTTTCAAATTTTCTGAATAAAAACCTTTTATTTTTGTCATTTTGAATATGTTCATTTTTTCTTAAATGTCTTCCGGTATTTCAAATCATCAACAATAATAGGATTGTAAAGATGTTTGTAATCTTAGGATGTTTGAACTACCGGAAGACATTTAAGAAAAAAAATGAAGAAACTCAAAATGGCAAAAATAAAAGGTTGTATTTAGAAAATAAAAAAATGTAAGCAATTAGATGTTTTGGAGAAAAAAGTATAAATACCAAAACTTTCAACATAAATTTGACCGAAAATGGTAAAATATATAGTGGAAAATGGCTCAATACATATATATATATATATATATATATATATATATATATATATATATATATATATATATATATATATATATATGCGTGAGTAGGGGTATTTTCGTCATATTTTGAAAAAAAATGCAATGTGATGGGGGCTTTTGTATTTATGTGTAGTACAGGGGGTAAATGATACAAAGTCCATAGTACAGGGGTGTTTTTGTATTTAACCCTTATTTAAATATTGTGATCTCAGATTGTTTATTTTAATTCATCAATGGCTAAGATCAAGGTTCCCCATCTTTTCTTTGCCCCATTTCTTTGGACATCATGAATGGCCCAAACGAATATTCTCCTATTAAAACGGCACCTGCTTGGTCACCAAACATCTCTCTTCGGCACCACATAGCTCACCACCCAAACACCACCGTCTGCCACATCATCTAGTTCGGCTGCACCCTCGTCGAACAACTCCTGCCGCACAAACAACCTCAACGCCACTGTTGATATTCAGAAATTGAAAAACTGCATTGATGAAGCTTGGAGAAAACAGATAAGAGAAGGGATAGAAGGTTCAACGGTCATATTATTAATAAAAATAAAGTGGGTAAAAGTTACAACGGAAAAGAGCTCCGCTCCTATTTAGGGGAAATATGCAATCCCCCTCAAACCAAAAATATTATGACTTAAATCCATTTGACTTTCAAAACTTTTACCCACACCAAAACTCCAATCTTAATTAGTGAAACCCCTTCAACAAATGTGATAAGACGAAACTACCCTTATCATTAGTTTTTAAAATAATTGCAATATTTATTTTCCATAACCGTCTCACGTAATTGAAGGATTACATTAACTATCTCTTTATATCTCCCTATCTCTCTCTTTCTCTCGCAATTTCTCTCTTTTATTTTTCTTCTTCTTCAGATCCATAGACCGCCGCCGCCGCGCTTCTTTCTCCAGATTTACACTGCAGCCGTGCCCCTAACAAAGACCAGTTTCTCCGCTGCGCCGCCCAAGCTGCAGCGACAATGGTAAGTCATCTCCCTCCGTTTCCTCTATCCCTTTTCTCACATCCACGTTCTACTTCAAACCGCCACTCGCTGATGGAGACCACTCAGCCGCTCACGGCGCGGGCGCCCGCTTCCGATTCTCCTTCTGGAGAGCGGACGAAAAAAGATGAGAAAAATCAATTTTTTGAGACGTAGCAGTTTTCGTGCAGAGGCCAAATCGGAAGATCTAACCGTGGGATCAAGTTGATTTTTTTATAGAGGGTTTGTAACACATTAATATACCTTCTGAACATAGGAGATCGGAATCAAACTTCTCTAAATATAGATCGGATTTTAAAACTCGCCGCTTGTTTTTGTTACAAAATAATTCAGAGCAGCTATATTGGACGTGTTTTTTGTGCAATTAAACCGTTGGATGTGGCTGAAATTTGGATAGAGTATTCCGAGCATATATTTTTATATTCTGTACGGAGGATATTGAATTTGGTGCCTCCTAGCTTCGTATATAAATTGTGAAAGTATCACAATTTGGTGAGATTTTTTTTCATTTTTTGTCTTAGCTTTTAGAAATTTTCCATTTAAAATTTGTTCGGGTCATTTGTGTTTGATTTTTATATTCCAATTGTTTTTAATTAGGAAATTTGTTTTGGTTGAAAATATGCAGTTTGAGCATTATTGCATATCCGATGAAGAAACTTCGGAATAAATGGTGGCGGTGGCTATGAAATGCACTAATGAAAATGGAGCAACGTGCAAGCCAAATGACAAGAATCAGTTTTGTAGTCATTACATAATAGTCAAATATGGTCACATATACAGTCATATTTAAGTTTTGTAATTGTTTCTGTCTTTTCAATTTCTCTTTATTTTTTTTTATTTTTTTTTCAGCAGATGTGAACATATAGTTTCAGATTTGAGCAGCAATAGACAATGACTATAATCATATTCGAATATGACTATTGTTGAATATGACTGTAGTCATATTCAAATATGTTCTATCTTCTCGTTTCAAGTTGACTTGTAATAACAAGATTCAAATTGTGATTTTTTGTGTGGATGTTGATAGGATTGGTTTCGTAAATAATAGGCAAACTTCATTTTTTTATATGATTTGGTAAACATGACTATACTAGACTATATAATCAGAATTTTTAAGTTGGAGATGTAAAAAACTGCAATATAAAGCAAGAATATGACTACAGTTGATATTGTCACATATAGTCATATTAGACTATAGTTACATTCGGCGTAGTAAACCTATCCAGAAAAAAAAATCTTTTTGTTTAAAAAAAATATTTTATTAAAAAAATGCTAAATAAAGTCCAAAAAAAATAAATAATAAATAATAAATAATAAAAAAATAAAAAAATTAATTTTTTTTTATTTGGTAACAAATTTTTAGGGATAGCTAATTAACACAAGGGTAATATTGGGAATAAAATTTATAGAAGATTATCACAATGAAAGATTTAAGGGATGGACGTATCACCATTTCTTAGCTCTATTTATAATAAAACAACTAACTTAACAGAAAACTATTGATAATGATAAATTCGCAATACACAAAACGCAATTTACATTTTAAAATAAAATAAAACTATTTATTATTCTAACACCCCCCTCAAGAGGGAAGAGAGAGATCTTCGAGCACCATCTTGGAAATGAGATGAGAAAATGTTGGAAAGGGAATCACTTTTGTGAAAATGTCAGCGAGTTGATCTTTACTAAGAATGAGCATAAGTCGAACAACTCATTTAGTCATCAAGAAACACACACAGTATCCAGAGGACGATAGAATGCCTTGACATTGAGTGATGACGTGGAGGAGTAGAAAAGTCATTGTCCAGGTGCAGCCTTTAGGTATCTTAGTAAACGGCGTGCAGCTTGATGATGTGGAGTGATAATATTTTCTCCATTGAAGAACAAAATCAAGAAGGATTGATTGAAGAAAATCAAGGAGATGATTTGCATAATATAATTTAGGAAATTACTATCCACCAAGATTTTATGACCGTTGCTTATTATACCTATATATATCTCTTGTATTGTTCTGTACAACTCAATATACAAGAATTCTAATTTCTCTTTTATTCTTTTATTTATAGTCTTCTCAATTTCATTTTTCGCAAACCTCTAAGTGATGTTGACAAAGTGTTCCAATTCTCA